CGGCGCTTTATAAGCATCTATTCACTGTGGTTAGGGCATCGCTCAGGGAGTGATGTCAAAGGCCTGTACCTGGAGCAGGGCCATGCAGAGCAGGAGGGCAGAATGCCACAGCTGCAACAGACCCTGTCATGCTGGACACAGTAAGGAGCTTAGCCAGATCCCCAGTCTGGAAATCTGGAGGGATTTCCAGCCACCCAGTGACACAGAATTGCTCCGAGGAAGACTCCTCTTGAATCCCAGTACCCAGGCCCAGAGAGAGGGACATGTGAGTGTGGCAGTTATTGTGGTCCAAGAGCTGGTCATGGTGAAGAGACTGTTATTTCGGTTTCCAGTTTTTTTCTTAAAGGGGTAGTCCTCATTGTTGTAAGAACCACTTGCATAAGGACTCTGCCATGAATTGATTAATGGCGTGTGATTTGAGTTGAACAGTGTAAATTAATTGAAGCCTTGATTTTGAAAGCCCGTGAATTAATTGGGGGCTGGGACTTGAGTTGGACAACCATGAATTAATTATGGACTCTGTTGCTTTAAGAGAACCCATGAATGAATTGATTGTTGAAGCGTGATTAGTGAACAAGCACATTAAGCCATGGCAGCAGTAAATTTAGTGGTCCTGAATTAATCCAAGCCCAGGCATCTCTGAACTCAGAAGTGTGTCTGAGGCACTGACCCTTTGTGGCCTGAGGGCAGAATTATCAACACAGCCCAGTTGGCATATGGACAGGGTAAAGGGAAGGAGGAGCTCCAGGAACATCCATAACACGTGCACGCCCACGAGGGTTGCCAGTAACATCCTAGGACCCTCCTTCTTATGTAAGATCATGGCATGATGAGCAGGTTGAGGGGAAATATCCCATGAGCAAGCCACTTTGTATGCCCCATTATACGAGCTGGAGTGAGGCCCGACCAGGGAGAAGGCCTCCCGAGCATCAAGGCACCTCCTATTCTGGCATAACTGCTCACAGGGCTCCCCCGCCATCCCAGCACATTTGGATTGGGGCTGCTGCACACTGTCTCTGCCCCAGGCAGATGGATCAAGGTCAGGCTACACAACACCCCCCACAGCCGGACTGGACCCATCAGCCAGATCTGCCCTGCACCATCCACCCAGATCTGGCACCATCCACCCAGCCCACAGGGCAAAAAGGTTGGGCACCATTGATCTGGGGCTTTGGCTCCATTGGGTTTAGTAGAATGCTATGTGGGTTCTAGCATTGTTTCCTTGACCAGAAAGGGCAGCAGAAGTCACATTACTGCCTATGCAGTCAGTTTTAACACAGTTCTTAGCACAGGGGTCCTCAATGTTTTTGGGTAGCGTGCCAAAAACACCCGCAACCTCGACTTGTAAATTGTTGGCATGTCGGGGGCGGATGGTGGGGAAGCCAATCCTTGCTGAGGCAGTGCAGCCCTGGCCCTTCCCTGCCATCTGCCCTGAGGCATGTATGCCGAGCAAAATGCCTTCGAGTGCCACACTCTGGCACCCGTGCTGGGGGTTGCCTATCCCTGCCTTAGCATAAATCTCTTTTGTCAGTGCTGGTCAGACAGAACCCAGTTAGGTCTAATCATGTTTTATCAGAAGCATTGCTAGTAGGCACCTGGTCCCGGAAGGGGTTGGCCTCATTTTATACAGTTGTTTTTTTAGACTTTGATCCTGCACTACTAGATTATGCCATTGTTTATTGTTCTTTTTTCTGTATTATGCCATTCTCAATTAAATACATCTGGATGGATTTTCCAGTCCACTCATTTTTTCTGAACTTAGTTTTTACGACTGTCTCAAACGTAGCTGTGAAGTAAATTATTATTATCATTGTTGTTAGAATAAATCCCAAAGGACTCCACTCGAGGTGAGGTACTGCACTTTCTTCCCTGAGATTTTACAATTTAAGGCCCTGATTCTGCTTACTTCTCTGCAAGGATATATAGGTGCCAACTTTGTTTTTTGCCAGTGGGTGCTTGCAGACTAAAAATAAACTCCAGAAAACAGAGCTTTACTTTTAACTCAGTGCATTCCCATGCCGAGTTCCAGAAGAAGAAGTGCATTACTTCAACCTGGCTCTGCAATGTCTGTAAAGACTGGGCGCTTTCATGGGGCTTTTTTGGCAATTTAATCTAATAGCTGATTGAATCAACTTTTAGCTAAAAGCACCCAAAAGGCCCACTGAAGCGCCCAGTCTTTACAGACACTGCAGAGCCCAGTTGAAGTAATGCGCTGCTTCTTTCAGTAAAGCGTGCTGTTTTTTTGGGGTTTTTTTAAATGTCTGCAATTGTGACTCCATGGGTGCTGAGTACCCACTAATTTTTTTCAGCGGGTGCTTGAGCCCCACAGCACCTATGGAGTTGGCGCCTATGCAAGGATACATAAGTTCATCTGTGCTGATCTGATTGCAGACAGGGGCCCAAATCAAGAGGGAACAAAGAGTTAGTGCAATGAACAACAGAAAGGAAGTGAGAAGCAAAGTTAGACAAACATTAATAAGATTGTCTGATTACACAGGCTGGCTAAAAGCTTATCTGCTCATAGAGTTCAGCCAGAAAGCTGTGAATGTGTCCACACTCCTTGCTTCTCTGTGATGGTAGAGCCTTCTCTTCCTGTGGTAGAGTAACACCAGCCCAATAAGTCACAGAAGACTTCTGTTGCCACCTGGAAGCTGACGGATATAGAAAGTATGTGCAGAGGCAACTATGCTTTCTGCCAGCTGCTGTAGCCCCTTTAGCAACTGGGTTGCTAACAGTTCCCTGGTCTAACTCATGGTACTTCACAGAAAGCTCCATGCATTAGACCGACCCTCCCTGACCCAACAGATGTTCACTGTTGGGTCAGGAGGGTGGGCCGCTTTGGAACCAATCCAGCTATGAGGAGTTACATGTCTGCAGCTTCTTTCCTGTAGCCCTGCCTCCCCACTCCCAACTCTAGTGCTGTCTACATGATGGGAGGGAAGGGAGCTCAGGCTTGGGTTTGCCCAGCCTGTGCTGGAGTGGGGGTGGTAGTCACCAACCCCCACTCCAGCACAGGCTGGGCAGAGCCCAACCAGAGCTTCTCCCATCCTTTTTAACCCCCTTCCACTGTGCAGACAGCATCAGGGGCGGGGCTGCATCAGCCCAGCTGCCAGAGCAGACGGAAATTAATGAAGGCACCCCACTTTGGAGTGCCTTCATTTGAATTTGTTGCAAAATTTTGGGACTTTTAAAGTGCTCTGTAGCTGTGTACTTCTGTTAAGGCACAGCTGCGTAGCACTTTCAAGGGGCTGATCACATGACAAACGTAACTTCTGTCTGTGCCCATCATGTCTTAGGATGCATTGAGGGCCTAGGTCGTATAGCTGCCATGGAGCTGCCAGAAATTGTGTAGGTGTGTAGGTGATCTGGTGAATTCCCTGTGGGGGCAGCTGCAGGCTAACAGGAGTAGTGGCAGAGAGCTTGTGATATAGTCAGCTCCTTGGTCCTTTTGTGGATCTAGCCCTTAGTTCTTACTCAGACAGATCCCAAACTCAGACTGAGTAAAGGTTGCAGGAATTGCAGGAAGGGTGCAAAGAATTATAGACTCATGTCTCTCATATAATGAGATTGTTTTAAAAATAAAAAGATTTTAAAATGTTGGGGTTTTCATATGTCCTCTGTTTTTGGTTTGTTTTGAGATCACATTTTTCTAACTTTCCTCCAGAACCTTATTTCTTTCAAATGAAAGCTGAGGTTGTTCTGTAAACACCTGACTCCAGGACCTGGGGATTTAAGAGAAGTAGCAGATCACAAAGTAGCAAAAAAAATCACAGAAATAGACACTAGTGAGAGTGCTTTGTACCACTGCAGATCATCGTTCATAGTGGTCCTTTCTGGCTGTAACATTCTGAAAGAGAGCTGTCCCTTGCAACAGCTGGAGTCCAAACATTTCAGCATTGTGTCGATGCCCAAAAGCTAGAAAAAATACCCACTTTTTCTAGAGATTGACGATAAATACAAGTTAACTTGACCAGTTGCCTTCACTAAAACATGCAGCAGGAAGGGTGAAATCAAGTGTGCTAACATATTTTAAGTGCTGAATAACTCAAGGTGTAAACTGTAGGCAAAGAAATCTGTTTTGTTTGCTGCAGAGCGACTTGCTCAATTTTAAAAAGGAATAGTCCTGTTGATATCAAAGGGATAACTGTCCAGTTGGTCCAAATAGATAACATATAAATAAATAATATAAATAAAAAGTAAATTTAAATAAATAAATAAACACTCCCTTCTTGCTTTCTTCCTGGACCATCACAAATCCCCCCCTCCCCCCCCTAAAGGCAGATTTTGTTTAGAAGCTGCGATTTGAGACGGAGCATTGGATTTGCCATTGGAAAAAAACAAGTTGCAGCAAGGGAAGTTTAGGTTAGATATTGGGAAGAATTTTCTCATCAGGAGGGCAGTAAAGCACTGGCACAGGTTACCCAGAGAGGTGGTGGACTCTCCATCTTTGGAAGTTAAGACCCAGTTAGACCAAGCCTTGGCTGGGATGACCTAGTTGGGGATGGGCCTGCTTTGAGCAGGGGGTTGGACTAGGTCACCTCCTGAGGTCCCTTCCAACCTTCACTTTCTATGATTTTTCTATGATTTTGTAAGGCGGAAAAAAGCAGCAATAGTGAAAGGCAAGGCTGAGTTGAGACGATGGCCTGATAGGGTTGTTGTTATTATTATTACTATTTTTTGATGGCCTGGCAGAGGGTGGTGTGGGACTAGCTGCCTTGAAGAGGTGCCAGACACTGCACGGCAGAGGTGTGCACCAGGCGTGCTAGGGAGGCGCTGCTCCGGGCTGTGTGGGGCCGGGCAGCGAGGGGAGGGCGGCGGCTGGCACCGGCCGGGGCTGGGGGCCCTCGCACTGCCCCGAGCGCCTGAGGGAGGCGCGCGGGAGC